AACTCATGATGTCAGCTGCTACTGAAGCTTAAAAGCTCAAAATGCTGCAGCTGATGGCATTTCCTGCACATAATGTCATCCAGGACACAAAGAATGTCCTAGAGATCCCACATGGAACAGGAAATGCTCTTCATGGTTTGGAGTTTTTCCTATTTATTTGCTCATAAAACTCACTGCCTAAGAAAATTAGGACTCGCTAGTTACTCACCTCTCTCCTTCTGTTGCCACTTAAATATAAGGAGGACAATGGAGCTGCTTTCATTTTATTCCCCAAAAAATTAAGGTTTAAATTTTCTAGCTCCTTTAACTAATGCCCAAACTTTGGAGGAAGGGGCACAAAGCTACAATCCTCACCAGTCAATCAACTCAGGATCTTTCTGTGCTGTTACAGCACTTTATGCTGTCTCAGATCAGTGTTGCTTCAGTGTTCAACATGGTTTTGTGAAGTAGAAATTATGTCTAACCAATTTATTAGAGTTCTTTGAAGAAGTAACATGCTATGGATAAAGCAAAAGCAATTGACTAACTATACTTGCATTTCCAAAAGAGATTTGATAAAGTTCCTCATCAAAGGTTACTGCAGAAAATAAAATTTCAGGGTGTGGGGGTAACACGTTAGCATGGATGAAAGATTGGCTGGCTAACACGAAACAGGGAGTAGGCGTGCATGGATCACTTTCTGGTTGGCAAGATGTAATAAATGGTGTGCCACGGGGATCAGTGCTGGGGCTTCAACATTTTACGATTAATACAAATGATTTGGATGAAGGATAGAAGGCATGGTTACTAAATTTGCTGATGATGCAAGGAAAGGTAGTTAGAAAAGGGAGTTATAAAGAGGACACAGGAGGCTATAAAGGTTAAATGTGGGAACGTGGATCTGGAATGTGGAGTATTATCTGGAAAAATGTGAATTTGCCCATTTTGGCTTTAGGAGTAAAAGCATATTGTCTAAATGCTGAGAGGTTGCAAAGCTTGAGATGCAGAGATACCTGAGTGTCTGAGGATATGAATTGCAAAGGTTAGTACACAGGTACCGAAATTATTTGGGAAAGCTTATAGAATAGCTTATAGTCTAAAGATGTACAGATTCAGTGGATTGGTTGTGCTAAATTGACCCGTTGTGTACAGGGATGTGCAGGCTAGGTAAGCTGGCCATGGGAAATGCAGGGTCACAGGAATAGGGTAGGGAGGTGGGTCTGGGTGGGATGCTGTTTGGAGGCTCAGTTCAGACTCAATGGGCTGAATGGCCTCTTTCTACCCTGTAGGGGTTCTATGATTGTGTGAATGTCATTGTTTAAAATGAGGAGAATTGAGTACAAAAGTAGAGTGGTTCTGCTTCAGATATGCAGGGCCTGGTGAGACCACTGTGTATAATTTTGGTCTCTTTTTAAGGAAGTATGTTAATAGATTGGACACCATTCAGAGAAAGTTTGCCAGATTAATATCAGGAATTGGCGAATTATTTAATGAGGAAAGGTTGGAGAGGCTGGCTTGTAATCCACTAGAAGAGTAAGAAGTGATTAGATTGAAACATGTAAGATCCTGACAGGGTAGAATTGAAGAGGAAGTTTCCTCCTGTGGCAGAATCTAGAATTAGGGGGTCACTGTTTAAAGACAGCGATGGGGAGAATGTTTTCTCTGAGGGTTGTGAGTCTTTAGAATTCTCTTCCTCAAAAGGTGGTGAGAGAAGACCCTTTGAATATTTTTAAGGCAGAGGTAGATGGATAAGTCTTTAATAAGTAAGGGGGTGAAAGGTTATCAGGAAGGTGGAGTAACTACATCAGCTGTGACCTTAGGGATTGGTGGGATAAGGTCTTGCTACCTGCTCCTAATTTATATATTTGTAGAATTAACAGGACAGGTAGTTCAGTGTTTATTGTGGTGCAATTGTTTTTCACAGAGACCTTGACATAAATTGAAAAGGCTCCTGTAGTGAAAGACCCCAAAGCTGATATATTATATATACATATACACAATATATAGCAATCTCTGATTCCATTTGAACACGTTTGAGAGATGAGGATTGTTTTCGCAAACGTGATAACTTTATTGGCCTGCAGATCCAGAGATAGCCGGAATTCTTGCGATGTCCCAGCATTCCGGCAGAATAACAGGTCCTTACTTGGAGAACAAGTGGTCCCGGACATTCCCTTTCAGTTCTGTAACAGAGTCTCCATTTCTGGATCAGAATGTCACTGACCTGCTACAGTGGTGTCTTTGTTTCAATTGAAACTGCTTTATGTTCGTTAAGGCTGAGGAGGCGTGCCTTAATGTGTTACAGAATGATGCTCAGTGGAAGCAATTTCATTGACTTAATAGAGCATGAAGTGACATAATTAAACTCGAGGGATACAGAGCAAGTGATTCAGCAGATAGAGTGACAAGTTGTGAAATCATTTTCATATTTAAAGCTGCAGTATATTTTCAGAGTATTGATGTTTTATGATCGAATTCAGAGCTTGAGGGGTAACTGAAGTCACATCAGGAATTTGAGAATTCCAGATACTGTTCATGCCGCAAGCACTGAGTTTAGGAGGATGGGTAGGAAGAGGGAAGTCTTTGGGGTATTGACACTCTGAAACTAATTTTCAGTGAAGATGGCAACACCTCATGAAGGTGCAGTCTCAAGCATATCTCCAACACTGAGATAAATGGTTACATAGAGGAACACAGGCATGCTGTGAGCACTGGGGAGTCAGTAATCAGGAGAATGGGTAGTTATTTTCTACCCACAGTGATGAGCCCCCATGGTGTCAGAGTAAAGGACACGTACAGAACATTTTATAGGAAAGAGGAACTGCCAGAAGTCAAGGTTCATGTTGGACCCAATAATATGGGTAGGATAAGGCTTGACCTCGTACGTACAATGTTCAAGGAGTTAGGGAGGGTATTAAAGAGATATGAAGGATCTTAAAGCCAGTAATCTCAGAATTATTTGCAGTGCAATCCATTAGCAGATTCACTAATGAGTTTCATAACAACTGGCAAAGCAATCTTGAGGGGCTGGTAGCCTCCTCCTGCTTCTAGTTTTTATGTTCCTAGCAGCTATAGCAACACCAATGGAGTATTTGTGGAGAACTGACACAAAAGAGAGGACTGCAGATTTTTGAGGCCAGTTTGACAGAAGAGGGCACAGTCCCAGGTGGACTGGTTTCAACTCAATGGGGCTGGAGCCAGAGTGCTCATGGGGATGTTAACTAGTGCTGAGAAGGAGGGTTTGAAATAATTCGAGCGTGGGAGAGGCACCAAATAATGGGAGTGAGAGAGGTTGGCAATTTTTTTTTTCTTTATTCATTTGCGGGATGAGGGTGTCGCTGGCTAGGGAGCATTTATTGCCTATCCCTAATTGCCTAGAAGGCAGTTAAGAGTCAACCACATTGCTATGGGTCTGGAGTCACATGTAGGCCAGACCAGGTAAGGATTGCAGTTTCCTTCCCTAAAGGACATTAGTGAACCAGATGGGTTTTTCCAACAATTGACAAAGGCCACAAATTTCCTACAAGGAACTGTAGAGTAGTGGAATGCGGAACTTCATTTATTCAAGTATAAATTTCAAAAATAACAGTATATAGGAGGAGGAATTCTTGGGATGTTTATAAGAGGGCTTTTTTGATTAGCATCTTTCCAATCCAATGAGAAAGTAAGCAGTTCCACATTTAATTTTGGAGAATGAAGTGGAGCAATTGGAATGTGTTTCAATAGGCGAGCATTTGGGAAATCGTGATCACAATATCATTCAGTTTGGAGTTGATGTAGAAAAGGAAAAATCAAAAGTGAAAAAAAAGTAACCCAGGAGGAGCACTAATTTCAGTCAGTTATCAAATGTAATTGAGGTGGATTTGATGTTAGCATGGTCGCTATAATCATAAAGGAAGAATGTACAAACTCCAAAGAAGAGATGGTTCAGGTAAAGACTAGACCCAATGCCATGATGAGGAAAGGGGAAGCATCCAAACCTAGAGTCCGCTGGATAACTCATGGTATAAATGTTGAAATGAAACAGCAAAAGGGAGGCTTATGCTAAATGCCAAGTTCATAATTCCGTTAAGAACCCAGCTGAATACAAGAAGTACATGGGAAGATGGCAAAAGGAAATGGGGAGCAATGAGAATAGCCAAATGTCTTTTCTGGACACAGAAACAGTAAAGGGTGGTCAAAAGGAGGATGGGATTGATTGGCAACCAGAGAAGAAGCCAAGGGCATGGCTGAAGTAGTAAATGAATGTTCATAAAAGAAAGTACTGAATTCTGTTAATTGTTTTGTTTAAGAGTAGTTGCATTGTTCTGAAAATTGGGCATATTTAATTTTTAGTTATATTTATTTGTGATTATTTCATTGCATTTTCTCACTTTGCTACAGGCTATTAGTATATTTAAGAGGATTTTGCAAGACAAAGTAAACACTACCCTTTATTCAACATCCCACAAATAAGCTTGCATTTACATAGCACCATGAATATAGCAAAATGTTTTGAGGTTTTTGTCACAAATTTACCTTAGCATAATGAACATATTAAACTTGCTATTTTTGGCTCTAATGTTGTATTTATTGATGGGCAGAAAATCTCTGGTAGTTCCCTCTTATCAGTAAGCATGCACAGTTTTTAACAAACAGTATCAGCAAAAGGTAACTGGTGATACCTAACATTAATTAGCCTTTAATTGGCCTCACCCACTATCTATTCACCATCATGAGACATTGCAACCTCAAGGAGGCAAGCCAATTACGTATTACTTTAACAGAGAAACAGATTGTATGTCACATAGCACATTGTCCTGTTTTTACTCAAAGTACAATTAACTGTTCATTTCATTGCTCTCATTCATTGTCTGGACATGCAGTGGAAGGTAAATATTTTAAACCAGCCCAACTTGGGCAGGATAGCTTTCACTTTCTTTGTACTACCATCTCAGCTCTGCCAAATTACAGCCTGCAATCTCCAATTTCCCCATGTATTCTAGTAGCATTGGAGGGTTCAATGATCTTTTCTTTCACAGAAGACAGCCTGGATGGAGATCGCGAGTATGTCACGTCTGATATCCGCTTCCCATACTACCCGAGTGTCATCTTTGCCATCATAGGCAGCTCAGTGGTCTTCATCCTGCTGGTGGCACTTCTTGCCATGATGCTTCACCATCACCGTAAGAGAAACAACCTGATTGGTCATGTAACGCCACCCCTGCACCGCCTGCAGCACCCGCTGCTCCTATCAAGGCTGGTCATACTGGACCGCAACCACCACTGCAGTGTCACCTACAGCACCGGCAATGGCATCCAGCTCACACCCAGTTCCATGTACCACCAGCCACTGGCAATGGAGGAGGTGCCACCCTCGTACTCTGAGGCTGTGCTGGAACACAGGTAGGGAGCTATTTGTCCTAACAAGCCACATACAATGAAAGCTATGTTAGTTTCACTGGGTAGATTTCACTCATTACGGATAGACGGATGTGTTATAGCTAGATCACCAGTGGTTTCTGAAGTATTAACCGGAAAATGCAACTCAACAAATTGCCTTGTGATAAAGCAGTGCACTTTGTTCTGTCACCTTCTACTCTCTACCACTGCTGCACAGTGATCGCAATGTGAGTAGCCACAAGATCAACTGTAGTCAGTGACTGAGACTGTGCTGGAGCAGAGCCTTCCAGACCCATGACCCGTACTGCAAATCCCAACTCAGAAAAATAAATTGTGTACTGTTCTGGTCGCCCTTCTATGGGAAAGGATATTAAATTGGAAAGGCTGCAAAAAAGATTTACAAGTATATTCCTGAGACTCGAGGGTTTGAGTTACAAGGAGAGGCTGGATAGGCTGGGACTTTTTTCCCCTGGATTGTCAGAGGTTGAGGAGTGATCTTATAAAGATTTATAAAATCCTGAGGGGCATTGAAAAAGTGAATAGCCAAGGTCCTTTTCCTAAGATGGGGAAGTTCAAAGCTAGAGGGCAGAATTTTAAGGTGAGGGGGGGAAAGATTTAAAAGGAACCTAGGAGGCAGTGTTTTCTACAGAGGCTGGTGCCTCTATGGAATGAGCTGCCAGAGGAAGTGGTAGGTGCAGGTACAGTTTCAACATGTAAAGGACCTTTGGACTGGTGCATGAATAGGAAAGGTTTGGAGGGATATGGGCCAAATGCAGGAAAATAGGACTAGTTTAGTTTGGGAAACCTGGTTGGCATGGACAGGATGGACCAAAAGACCTGTTTCTGTCCTGTACGACTCAATGACTCCTGGGTCAAAATACTGGAACTCCCTCCCTGACAGCTCTGTACCTCTTCCACAAAGACAGCAGCAGTTCACAAAGGCAGCTGACACTACCTTCTCAAGAGCTCCTAGGGATGGGCAATAAATGCTGCCCTTGCTGCTGACATGCACATTTCATATCTATATTTCTGGACTCGTTGTAGTACCTTGTGTTGAGTTGTTTTGCTGGGAAAACAGAACACAATCCGCAGTGGAAAGATTCTGAAAGATTCTCATTGAATCGCGTGTTGGGAGCAACTGCTCGATGCTGCACTGGCCTCAAATCAAGCAAGAACTGATTAGTACCCAGTTGAATTTGCTCCTGAGTCTTTGCTGTTGCATTGATGAGATCAATTTTGTGCTCAGCAGACTCCATTCACCATTGCCCCGTGACCTTACGCTTGGGAGAGAGCCCTACCCTAGAGAGCTGCCGATCAATCTGTTTGGCCAACTGCTCTGTCAACCCACCAAACCCAAGATGAGCCGTGACCTCTGGGCGTTTGCTGAGGGAGTAAACTAATGGGGCACAGACGTAAAAAGTCACCTAGGTTTTTGAATGGGCATGGTAGACCCCAGATTGGGAGGGGGCAGGTGGGTTTGAGAGACTAGGGAGGGTGGGATCAGTTTTGATGAGAGAGGCTACCACTATTACCTCCGAAAGGAAGCAATTCCCAACCCGCCCAATTACCTGACAGCCGTTCACTCAGTGAAAGTTGCTGGCCTTAACCACCTTAAACTCTCCTTACCCTGCACACATTAACTAGTAGCGGAGGCAGCATGGGAACGTAGAATATAGGATCAGGAGTAGGCCATTCAGCCCTTTGAGCCCTGTGCTATTCAATGTGATCGTGGATGATCCAACTCAGTCCCCTCCCTCAGTTTTTCCCCATACCCTTTCATTCCTTTAACCTTAATTCCTTCTTGAAAACAGTTCAATGAATTGCCCTTAAATGCTTCCTGTGGCAGAGAATTCCACAGGCTCACCACTCTCTGAGTGAAGAAATTTCTCCTCATCTCAATCCCTACTATATATCCTTCAACTGTGACTCCTATTTCTGGACTTCTCGTCATTGGGAACATCCTTCCTGCACTTACCCTGTCTAATCCTGTTTGAATTTAATAGGTTTCTATGAGATCCCTCTCATTCTTCTAAACTGCAGTGAATACAGTCCTAACTGATCCAGTCTGCCATCATACATAAGTCCTGCTCTCCTAGCGTCAGAACAGCCCCTTAATATAGTCTCTAAATGATCTCTTATATTCTGCAGTGGGCCTGAGGGAGTGTGGACTACTTGACTGTTTCCTCACACACCATAACACAGGAAATTAGTCAGGATCAGGCAGTGAGAAAGCTGACCCAAACTCCCCTCCCCAACTCTAACCTTCAAAACAGTGCACAGTGTTGAAGGCTGAGTTTGTTCCATATACTGGGAAGAATTGATGATGTTACGGGTTTTAAACAACGAACGAGGCCGGGAAAGCAGGGAAGGTTCAAAGAGCAAGGGGGCTAGTCTGTGACGGGGTTGGGGGGAGGCAGGAGTTTTAAATGGCAAAAGGGATGATGGGGTGCGAGCCAAAGGAGTCGGTCGTGGGACAAGCAAAGAAACAATAGATGGACGTGGAGGAGATTTAAATGAGAAAAGAAACATTTGCACCAACAGCTGCCGTCCACGCAAAAAAAAAAGAATGAAACATGGTTCTCAGTGGTTGCAATCAAAAACTATTCAATGCCGTTTTGAGTCCAGAAGGCTGTTTGAAAGATGAAGTGCTGTTTCTGGTGGAGGAGGTTGAGGGCAAACCAGTACCCATGACACAAACAGTCTATCCACCGTGAAGGTGGGGCCCTTTTCACACTCTACCATCGGGGCAGCACGCTGGCTCAGTGGTTAGCACTGCTGCCTCACAGTGCCAGGGACCTGGGTTCAATTCCAGCCTCAGGTGACTATCTGTGTGAAGTTTGCACATTCTCCCTGTGTCTGTTTCCTCCAGATGCTCCAATTTCCTCCCACAGTCCAAAGATGTGCAGGTTAGACAGATTGGTCGTGCTAAATTGCTCATAGTGTCTGGGGATGTGAAGCCTAGATGGATTAGCTATGGGAATGACAGGGTTACAGGGATGGGGTAGGGGGTTGCATCTGAGTCGGATGCTCTTTGGAGGGTCAGTGTGGACTTGATGGGCTGAATAGCCTGCTTCCACACTGTAGGGATTCTATGATTCTATGATCTCTGCATTTGGAGTGTAAACGTCCTTGGAGATTAATCTGCTCTGCCTGTAACTTCAAGGAATAAATGTAGAAAAAGGAATTCTGTGAATGTCAAATCCCCACTGACAACACCACTCCCACCCCCAACATTGTCACCTTGAAGCTTTGTTTTTGGATTGGCAGCACAAAGTATCAGTCAAATGCAAAATACAATTCAGGAGCTCAGGTTAATGGGAATGGGATTCTATATTACTCTTGAGACTTGCTCACAGGTTATCTGGAAGAGCATTAAGTGCTTTTTAAAAGTCCCCAGAGTTTCTGTCGGTATCGAACATCCTTGCTAATGGTCTGCATATTTCCGTGCTCACTTCCTTCTCATTTACACTGCAGGCCACCGTGGTTTGACCTCCCCCCTCCTCCGTACCCGCCAGACTCTGAGATCCCCAACCATCCGGAGCTGCCTCCTTATCGCTCTCGAGTGGGGAGCACGCTGAGCTGTGGACACCAAGCTAACCTCCAGGAGAATGCCGAAATGAGAGACTGCCTGCTCAACACCAGCTTAGAGGAGGGGCCCTGAGCAAAGCCACAGTGACCAAGTGGCACAGCAGCTGTGTTCTTGCACTAGTTATTATTTAAAGAGACTTGGATTGAAGGATTTAACTTGAGAAGCAAAACCAATAATTCACACACTTTAACCTTGGTTCGTCTTTTTTGCTGCGAAGACACAACTGCGGCATCCAGCCGAGTGATCCTGAGGAATAAAATCCAGTTGTTTCACTGATGTCTGACCCAGGAAACTTGCTGTTTGTTGACAGTGGCTAATCCTTCTCAGATGGCCAGTTGGAGTCACTGTGCAGACTTCCCTGTGGGGTAACCAGGAAGCTGGACTGCAAATCTAAACAGGAAATACCCAGAGAACTGGAGAGGTGAATGATCTCGGATGAGCTCCTGGTGTAAATGCACTCACCCACAGCAACTGATAAAAAAAAATTTCGTGAATCACTGGAGAGTTTCAAACAAAAGACCTGGACATAATAGAAAGGAGCAGCATCTGTTGATTTTATGACTGCATTGCTAAGTGTAAATTCTGCATTTCAGGATCTAGACAGCATATATTCTTACACTTCTGCTCTTGATGTTCAAATAGAACAAAGTCACTGTTTATCCCATGGGGCAGCTGCCTGTATCTCTTCCTTTTCACTCTTCCCCTTCCTGAAGCTGACACACAGCTTGCTGGTGTTTTCCCCTTTAGCAGAATGTGTCCTGAAGTCACTTCATCGTTCACAATCCTGGCCTCATATGGTGTGTCATATGACGAGTGGAGAAACTCACTTGCATTGTCATTTCCCTGCCAGGGAAATGAACTCAAAGCCATGAATGTGCCTTTTCAACTGCACATGTCCCACAAAATCTCAGGGCCACCTACCACCTTAACTGAAAGCAAGAAAGAGAGGAAACAGGATATGCCAGAGGTCTGTGTTGCAGCACCTGTTTCTATAAGTTAGACAAGGGTGTAAGGCAAGGCGACAGATCTTGACAATAATGATGTAAGGCTTCAAGATGCAGGTTTTCAGGTGAAAGCTTACAAGTGGGCATCGCTGTCCTGTGCAGCGATGCTGAGTTAACTTTTGGAGCTCACATAAACAAAGTCCAACAACATCTCACTGTTTCAAATTTCAATCATATTGCTACATCAGGAAGGACCTAATGACAAAAATAAAAGCAGCTATTCCAAAGCCAAAACAACGCACATCTGATCGAGGGTTTCCCTTCATTTTCAAACACTGACCTGTTTTAAGGTGCGTTTCCAATGGGTTTTGTTTGTATTCCAAGATTCACTCCTCTGTTGCAGAAATCTTGATATCGTCCCATTGTGTGAATGTTACATTTATAACTGTGCAAATTCCCTCCAGACAAAGCAATGTTGTTTGATTCAATTATTTATGTTCATAAAGTGTTAAATGTGGATCGTGTTTCACATGTGGACAGAACCGTAAACCCATTTACCCAAAACAAAGATGTGCTCATCATTTCACAGGTATATGAATAGGAAGGTTTTAAGGGGGATATGGACCAAATGCTGGCAAATGGGACTAGAGTAATTTAGGGTATCTGGTTGGACTGAAGGGTCTGTTTCCATGCTGTACATTTCTATGACTGTGTAAGGGGAACCTGTCCAACACTTTATCTTTCAATATCAGCAGACTTTTGCCAAGTCAAACATTCATGATGTAGGTACACAAAGATAAACAACACAAATTTATTAAAGGAATTCCACTCTACCAAAGACCCTGCAATTGCATAGGATTCCACTTACCAAGCTTCTGTCACATGCACAAAGATTTCCTGTACCCAATATACCTTCCCAATGAACTATAACGAAGTGTTAGCATCTCAGGAATTTGCATTCTGCCAACTCACTCCCCATTTGATAGAATACCACTGTAAAATGTATCAAATTTTGTAGAATTCTTGCCGTAACAAACTGTTTCCATTGTCCACTCATTGACTACCAGGCCCCATTGCATTTCATACGATGCTACAGGATTAAGCCCCCTACTGGTGTAGATTTACATTGTCACAATCCCACTCCCATTATTTAGAATTCCATATTATAACGCCCATTTGATTATATTCTACAACAAGCCTCGTACATTCTCTTGAATTCCACTGTAATAAACCTCTCTCGTGTTCATTCTTTATGTCTGGGATTTCTCTGTATATCCACCTCCTATGGCATAGAATTCTTCTGCACACACACCTCCTATTGTATGGAATTCACTTTAAACCTGCCTCCTAGGTAATGGAATGTGCCTATTTTTCCACATCCCTTGTACAAGATGACACTGCACAAAGCCATATGCCAACTGACAGAAATACACTCCACCTCTTTCAGTCCCATTATGTTAAAAACTACTGTCATGTTCAAACAGCTTCCGTTCCTGAACACACCCGCTGGACCAAAACACCTTGAACTGTAAACAATCCTGCCGTACCAAAGTCTCTCCCACTGTAAACAATCCCATAGTCCCAAACCCCCTCCCACTGTAA